GGGCCGTGGATGACGACGCTCTGCCAAGACCACTGAAACTTTCTTTGACGTCTTTGTCAAGGTCTTGAGTGCAAGATCTGTCATATGGAATAAATGACAGACAGTAACAGTGAATATAAATTAAAGGATGGTTATTAAATCATCATTTACCCACCCTTATGTCGTTCCAAACCCATATGGTTAGGTTAGGTTATGGTTATGGGTTTCTTGCTCCCATGGAGCATAAAAGGAGACATTTTCAAGTATCTGACAAGACATGACTAATCATCATCAATGTCAATCCTCACTAGGGTTGCAAAGGGCTGGAAAATTTCCAGTGTATTTCCAGAGACTTTCAAAAAAATTCCTGGGCTGGAAGACTCCAAAAAATCCTGGAAAGTTTCCAAAATTTCTGGAATGTTTCCGAAATGTACTGGACATTTTCCACCTTTTTGCAACTCTAATCCTTACATAGTCTCAGCCTTAGATGTCATGGTCACACTTCGTTTGTTAAGTGTCTGATGCATAAGGCACAATAAAATGGAAACATTTTTGCGACTTTTCGAGATTCTGCAGTCTTTTAACATCCACCAGTAAATAAAGCCATGTTTATGAAGACTGGCATATAAGCATAATAAGCAACATAAGCAACTACTGTAGATACCAAATTTCAAAGGTTTGTGTAATCCAATGTTTAGTTGCTCGTTTCTAATGCAGATTGTGGGTTACACTTTATTTCGATAGTCCACTTTAGACATTCTACTAACTACAAGTAACTTTGCAACTAAATGTCAACTGACTCTCATTAGACTATTAGTAGATGGTTATGAATGCATGTTGGGTGACCATTAAGTATTAGCAGTATTAGCAGATTTTAATGTAATTGCAAAGTTACTTATAGTTAGTAGAATGTCTAAAGTGGACTATCAAAATAGTGTGTTACCACAGATTGTTGCGTCATTATTTGCTTTAACATTTATGCAGATCTTGATCGAATCACATATGGTTGCACGCAGACCTGTAATCATAACGATATTAACCCACCCCCAAACATAACAACACGAGTCTACTTCATATGTACACTACCATTCATATGTATTACTTCATATGTATTACTACCACTCGCAAACCATGCATCACACACTGTAGGCAGCGCAATCCTAACAACCTGCGCACGTTGCCTATGTCTACTAATACACTACTTTCTTTTTCTATTGGTCTCTGGAATTGCCAGTCTGCTGTAAACAAAGCAGATTTTATTACTTCTATTACAAGTCATTCAAGACTAAACCTCATGGCCCTGACAGAGACGTGGATCAAACCAGAGGACAATGCTACACCTGCAGCACTCTCAAATAATCTCTCTTTTTCCCACTCCCCCCGTCTGACTGGAAGAGGTGGAGGTACTGGTCTGCTTATCTCTAATGATTGGAAATTTAATCCTTTACCATCTCTGAGTATCAACAGCTCCTTTGAATCACATTCAGCCACTATTACCCAGCCTCTTAAAATCCATTTTATAGTTGTTTATCGACCCCCAGGACCACTAGGTAACTTCGTGGAAGAATTAGATGTGCTGCTCTCAGACTTACCTGAGGATGGTACTCCCCTAGTTATGCTTGGAGACTTCAACAGACTGCTTTTATTGTCCTCATTTGTAAGTCGCTTTGGATAAAAGCGTCTGCTAAATGACTAAATAATAAATAATGTACACCTCAGGTAGCTCCATAGACCACAATGCAACACGATTATGACGCCATCGCGTTTAATTTATCCTCACCCCAAACAACTGTATGATATATAAATGTTTTTTTTAAACATTTAAAACAGCCCAAGCATACCTATATACATATAGAATGTTGCATCAAACAAATTCGTAAGGGAAAAAATGTAAATAATAAATCAACTCCATAGCAGATTCCAAGTGATCAAAGGCTTAGGACGTTCCAATTCAGCCCATTGCAAAGGCTTCACTAGTAGTGGACACTTGTGCAGCATAAACAATGACATACATACAAGTAAATGAGACAGAGGGAAATTAGTGAAGGGTATAAAAAAATAACTGGAATGCAGCCATAGAGTCCAGACCTTATGCTTAATCTCCGTTTGTGATTCACAAAAGTCAGTCAGTTATACAGGATTACAGCCATGCTTGCTAAAAAATTACTACTTGCCTAATCTGGCCTGGTGGTGTTACCTTGTTTATTGATGCACACTCATGCTTATTGATTATCAGTCTTCTTTTGCTATGTTACCTGAAACTGTAGGTGCTCATGGTGTCGGTAACAGACTGGCGGCCGGAGCTGCTTCCTGCGTAAGGAGAAGTTCTGCCTCCTCGTGGTACACCTGCCCACTGACGGATCCCTTCGCCGACGTCTTCAGTACCCACACTGGATCCGACGCTGGACATGGTGTCGCTGAAATTCAAACCCCATGTTAGTGTGAAAATCATGCTTTCATTGGAAAGATTAACAGCTGTGCAACATGCTTTCACAGCGCAAGCGGTCAAATCAATATAAGCCCGTATCAATGCATACATGACCTACATGAATACGATCATGCACATGGCTTGAGAGGAGATCTCTCGTCATGGGTGTTGTAACGCCACACATGGGAGTGATATTAGCTCTGATATCCTCATTGCTACCCAGCAGGCCATGTGTGTTCAGTGAGCTGTGAGTTCATTAGTCTTGAGAGCACTGTCATTTTCAGGGCTCGTAGGGGCACAACTCACTGATCCACAGCCTGTTTACAGACTGACTAAAGCTGTTTGCTTGAGATCCCAAAACATAAGCTCTGTTCCAAGAGCTAGTGTGCTGCCTTGCTGCTTATTGTCTAAAGAGGCAGCTTATCTTCTAATGGAGCATCCTACACTATTAAAAATGAAGTTTCTAAAAGGGGGGTTTTGTAGCAATGGAATTGAACCACCATTTTGGGTTCCCCAAAAAACATCTCAGAGATAATTTCTTAAAAGAACCATTTTGTTTCTTAGTGTTAAGAATATTTTAACAATTTGAAGAACTTTTTTTTCCATTATAAAGAACCTCTTGTGCAATTGAAAGGTTTCATGGACTTAAAAGGTTCTACATGGATGGTTCCCAAAAAAGCACATTTATTTTTAAGAGCATAGCCATGAATTCTCATAAGTGACTGATTTGGAATGCTCTGCATTGGCATATATTTGCATCTGCGTTTATGCATTTGGCAGACATTTTTATTTAAGTGATTTACATTGGATTCAAGGTATAAGTGTATGAATTCCTTGGGAATCGAACCCATGACCTTGGCATTGCTTCCACCATGCTCTACTGTCTGAAATACACAGAACTATGAGGAGCTTTTGGCGCTATGAAATAAGTTTTGCTACTACACACAACTGATTAGTACAATTAGTTTTGCATCATCATGTTGCTAAATGATGCAAGAGCTACTCTACCAAGCATAAAATGTGCATTCACATAAATATTGGCTAAAATTGCATTTTTTATTAGATTATTTCAGTACTGCATTAAGTATATACAGTGGAGATCAAAATTAGAGAACAACCTATAATTTCAAGGTCACTGTTTAGCCCTATTTAAAGTTAACCTAACAGGGGTAGAAGGGCAGTTTTTAAGCATATTTGATAAATTAATTGTATTCTGAAGCACACTATACAAAACTCGAATGAGATATTTAAAATAGAACTCTGATCAAAATTAGAGAACACTTACAGATACCTCCAAGTTATTGGTGTTAATCTGGCACCTGGTACTAATTTCCTTAATTATATGACAAACCCTATTTAACTGCCAGCATTTCTCCACTTTTCACTGAGATCGCAAGATGACTAAAACCCTGCGACAGCCATTGTAAGTTAATCATAAGTTAGTCATTCCAAATATGTGATTTCTTGAATATTGCAGGTTTACAATGACACTAATTCATTCAAGTCCCCCAAAAAAGGCTGGTCGTCTATGTAAGACAAATGCACGAGAAGACCGGATAAGACAGAGACTCTCAATGGGGAATCGGTTCAACACTGCAGCTGGAATTGCTTGCCAGTTTTGTCAAACATGTTAGTAGTACAGTGGTATACCTACAGCTAATATTCCTTCAAATTTTGAGTGATGAAGATTAACAATATTTCAGAAAAAATTAAGTATTCATAGATGGTTCTCTAATTTTGATCTCCACTGTATAGCATTCTGCTTAAATTGCTTATTGAATTGCACTTTAGGATTGAATTATTCATGGATTCATTGCTCAAAACAAATTATAGTACCTATCTTTTAGAAATGGTTTCTTGTTGTATGTATGCCTATGATGACTTAAAATGCTGTGCAGATCACTAGGTTTAGGAACAGAGCCATTGCGTCAAAACCTATTCTAGCTTCCAGAAGCTCTTATTCAAACATACAAGAGTAAGGTAACAAAAATGTTAATTTGCTTGCATATGCCGTGGGTTCTCAGCTACCCTGCTCTTGTAATTGGACTCACTACATTTGTTCAGAGATTTAAGACCCAAAGCTCCGAGCAACTGCAACGGTTCATTTTATCCCCTTTTTTGCTCGCACAGACAACTGAAAGAGACGAGACGCGGGGGGTCTCGGCTAACGCGCATTCATTATTCAGAAGACGAAGCATATCACAGCTGGTGAACTTTTAAAAAGGACTCTCTCGCACAGAGGAAAGATTCTTGCATTTAACAAAGCAAAGTGGCAGTGTGGGTATGTTGCGGTTTGCGTCTGACGAGTAGGTGTCTGTTCACATCCGTCCAGCGGAGACTCTCGTCTATCTTCATTCAGACGTGTGAAAGGAAGCCGTGACCTTACACAAGTCCACACACACTTACAGCACTGAGCAACAGCCTAAGCAGGCAACATCAACAGCCAAATGCAGCGCTGGCCCATCCATCAACATTTGCTTGATGGCGAATTTTTAGACCAATGAGAGAAGGATGGTTATGCGTTAGACTCCGCCAACACCATTAAGCCACGGTTCACAAAGAGACGCCGTGCATTTATATGCAAAAAAGAAACTGCACTGCATAAAGCAGTGCATTTCTTCATTTCGCAGCAGACATTAATGTATGTTATGCAACTAGAGCTGGACAATATAGGGAATATATATGCAATAATATATCTGAAAAAATATAAAGTTTTTAAAAAAACTCTTGTAGGAAACATCACTATATGATTCACTGAAGAAGGCTTGCTGCCGAAATGCCTGATTGTTGTTTGCTCTGTTACTAGGTGTATTTACAGTAGTAAATACACCTAGTAGGTTAAATAATAAATATTAAAGGTAAATAATAAATATTAAAAAATATTTAAAA